ATCTGTGTTACCCAGCCATTGTGGCCCTTGAGGGTGCCACGAAGGGTCATCTGCTCAGTCATGGCAGCGGCGGGTGCAGGGGTCGCCGCAGCGACAAGGATGGCACCGGATAGCTCTGACACACAAACTCCTGCTGCTCTTCAGCGGAGAAAAAGCAAGATACAGAATTCTTGCTAGCCCTGTAACCTCTTCTCAAGTTTACCAACCAAACTCTGTCAATGCCACTAAAGAGCTTTTTGTGTATACTGGTTTTCATTTCCTCGTTTTCAGGGAATGTGACACGGAGAGGGGAAACAACATTACAACCGAGCATCCTTTCTTTAAAATCATTTTATTGGGGCTCATATAACTCTTATCGCAAGCCATACATACATCAGTTGTGTAAAGCAATTTGTACATTCATTACCCTCATCATTCTCAAAACATTTGCTCTCCCCGAGTGACATTAAAACAATGAAAATGCATCTCAAATCATCAACAGAAAATAAACCAGATCTATTCCAGTCAATAAATCCCTAGTTTAGACTAAAATAGATAAGACTTGCTGGCTCGAGCAATCAGAAGACAAAAGAAGATATGGTATGTGTATACAAGGGAGCTTCCAAATGTCTGTGGAAAATGGAATGAAAAGATACAATGGGTTTTTTTCCAGTAACTTTTTGAGGCCCCCTAATATGTAATTATTCATGCAAACATTTAAAAATGCTCAAGCTACATGTTAGTCTTTAGTATATTCATACAGAAAGGGAACTCTGAAAAAAAAACCAATTTATTTAAAATACCAATACTGACTTGGAACACTGCAATGACTTCAGAGGGACTGACTAGACTTTAAACCGTGCTGTTAAAATAAATAAAATAAAATAAAATAAAAGTAACAATTAAAAAAAAAAAAAAGCCGTGCTGTTAAGCTGGCTCAGCTCTTTTTACCATCAAGCTCTCTAAGAAAGCGGTGCAACACTGGAGAGCTCTTCTAACTTACGTCAGGTAGGTGCCTCTGGTGTTGACACTCATCATCAAATCCACTCTCTTCGTAGGTGTTTCCAAAGTGTTCGTCAAGCTAATAGCACTGGCATTATTCACCAAAATATCAATTCCTGTTTTCAAAACAGTAATTTTATTATAACTTACTTTTATTACAAAAGGACATAAACACATTTATTCTATACGAGGGAGCTTCTAAAGTCCATGAAAAAATTCCATTACCCTTTATTTCCATTTTTACACAAATGTTTTAAAGCCTCCTCATGGAGTTGAGCCTTCAGTTTGTCAACTGAACTGATGTACGAATACTTCTCTTCCATTATTTGACTGAAGGATGTGTCACTGTAGAGCAACCAAATGATTCTCACTGGCCCAGTGGAGATGGTCAAACACCAGAGCTCCCTGCGAAACACTAAGGTGCTTAGTCTTCAATTTGTAGTTTCCACCCTCATCTGTTCTTCACCTCCTACTCTTCCCTGTCTCCAACCTTCTGGAAAGTCTTCCCTTCTGTCTAGCATTACTCCCAATGCCTACCCTCCGCCC